TTGATATTATATATAATTTTTACTGATTTGACTAAGTATAAGTTTTCTTGTACTGAGTCTTTTTGTTTCTATTCTGTTTTTTTTATTTCCTCTTTTAGCTTTGTTTTTTGTTGTTTTTGTTTTATTTTATATTTTGACTTTTCATTTATATAAATAAGAGATTAGACCAGGTAGTAGACCTACTCCTATAATTTTTATATATTTGTATTAGTTTTCATATTTTTTTTTGTTAGTGAAATCTAACAAAAGAGAGTTGAAAACTGTCAGGTTAGCTTTTTTTTCCCTCTACAAAAGGTTATTATCAGTTAGGTAGTAGCTAATTGTGGGCGTAAGAGAGTCAACATAGTTCTCTAGTCTTTTTTAGACTAGTGCAACAGGTCACACCTGAGTACTCTAGTAGCAGCTAGGTAATATCAAGCTTAGGAAATTAGATCGATTAAAAAATCATATGTAACTTGGCTACAGCTATAGTTAACAATTTAATAAAGTTTATGACATGACTGTTAAAGGAAAAAAATAAAAGATAAAAGTATGAATCTACAAACAAAGGTTGTAAATATATATTTTTACTTGATATAATATGTATAAAAAAAAAATTTAATACTATCAAAGAACTACTAGCTACTACTATATATAAAAATTCTTGAATCAAAAACTAACTTTAATTTTATACAAAATAATAAGAAATACAAATCAGATTAGATATTGTTATTAAAATAGAATTTGTTAAAAGGAAATTCTTTTAATTACTAGAATCTTATCAGACTTAGCTAAAGTTATTCATAAAGTAATTCAAAATTAGAATTCCTATATGATATATATAGTAGTTATTGCATAATATTATATAAAGTTTTTAATATATCTGATATGATCTTTAAAATAAAAAAATTTTTTAATTTACATATAAAATTTTTGTGGATAAGAAAAAGTTAACGGGAAACAACTAACTAAATAAAAATTCCTAAAGAAGCGCAAACACAAACTACTGGAGTGCTAACAAGCACTCCACACAAAATAACACCCACACTAAATAATAACAAACCACAAAAAAAGAGAGACAGGAACGATAGCAACAAAGAAAACAGACTTGGGAGTATCTCCCAAAAAGAAAACCAAACAACCAAGAAACATCAACAACAATTACAACAAAACAAAATGAGCCAAGTCAACAACACAAACAGGCAACGACAAGAAGAAGTTGAAGAAACTGAAATAAATAACAACCAAGACCTTAAGAAGAACAAAAGACGTAAAACTATAGATACACCTCAACTCAATATCAGAATAGAAAATCTAGAAAAAAGTGGGCAGAACAGTTCACCCCTGACAGATTCACCCGTGGGAAAAAATAATAATAACAACAACACAACAGTTACTAATTCGGATGATATCACAGTAGCCCAAACCAAATCAGGAGATCTGCAATGCACTAGCGACAACAACAACAAACAGGAAACAACAACTAACAAACTAGATGATACAATGATTGAAATAGAAATTGACCGAACATCTAACAACCAAACTGGGAATACTAGCAACATAAATTCAGAATTAATAAGCATAGGATTACCTCGTACTATCACTCCAGATATTGAACCCAACCAAGAGGAAATAGCTAAAGAAGGAAAAAACAAAATAAAGAAGACTTCATATAGCCAAGCCCTCTAGCTAAACCTAGAAAATAGTATGCAACTAGAAACAGATACTGACTACACAGATCACTGGCAGCAACATGTGAAAAAAGCAATAGAAAATGCAATAACAAGAGAATTTGATACAGAGACATAGAACTACGATACAATTATTCAGGCCCTCAACACAAACGAAGGAATAAAAAATTTTATAGAATACAAACTTAATACGACAACTACTAATATCCAAATACCTGAAGCAATAAAGAAAAAACTCATCTACAAAGATACAGCTTTCTTCGTAACCTTCACACAGAAGAAGAACTCGATACCAGTACACCAAAAAGAGTTTATAGACCTACAAACAAAGGCAATACAAGTATACAAACAAACTAATGAAATTACTCTATTGAATAGGAAAGTAAGAGATACAATCCAACTCAAACTACGACAAAAAATCATGATTGACCACTTACGCAATACAAACATCCAGAAACTCAACAAGTACCAAATATACCAAGAGCTGAAGTATGCAAGAAACTTTATAAAAGCAGAAAAAATTGAAGACTACACTACAACACAAAAAGCAATAGAAGATGCGATAAGTGCAAAACTTCAAGAACTCCCTGAGAGTCTAAACTTAATTTCAGAAGAAATACAAAATATCTTGCCCTTTGAATTACCAATCAAAAAAAGATCACAAACAACAGCTATAGTAAACATACTAAGAATCATTTACAACTTCGGCTGCCTACCCGAAACATATTTCAAAGAGTTACCCCAACTTCCTAAAACACCTTATGACCTTCCAATAAAGATAAAATATGCTTTCCCAATGCGTACTAGAAGTCAACTCCAACAACTTCGCTACCACATACAGAAGCTCCGAGAGCATTATAGTTTTGAGCAATTATCCAAAACATATTTTGACCTACCACCACCTAGAAAGGCTTTACCAACAACATACTACGAGCTTAATAGCTGTATTCGCGAAATGTTCCCTGTAGATCTACAACAGAAGAATACACAATTAAAGAAGTAAAAGACATACTGAAAGAATACTATATCTTTAAGAATATACCTAATGATTACTTTAAACAAAGACCTTTACTACTCAAAGATCCGCAAAAAATCAATCTTAATACCAAGTTCACATATCTGATAACAGACAACGAAGAAGCAAGGAAATTCATAAAAATAGCGGAGAAGAAGTACAAAATAAGACTTCCAATTGCAGCAGAAGTTATGACAGCAAATCCTACTAACAAACCATGGCTACCTTATGACCACAAAAAAATTAAAGAATTCAATTTAACTATTCCTATTAACACACCACAATTATTAACTGAAACAGCAAGACTACTCAGGACTGCCTATTATTTTACAAGAATCCCTAATGAGTGGATTGATATTAGACCAAGGCAACACAATACACAAAACCTAACAGAGGAGGAAACAAAGCCCCCGATCCCACCTACACTTGTTAGACTTCAAGAACATATAGAAAACAAAGAAATTAAACTCCAAATTGAACTACCCATCACTACACAACAAGAAATTACACCTACAATCAACAAGCTTAAAGAATACTTTGAAATACCACAAATACCCAACTATCTACTAAACCTACCAGAACTCCCCGCACCATCCTGAAATATCTTTCATTAATGATAGAAAACAACAGAAGCATTAACAAAAACAAAAATAACCCACTAAAAAACAACCTAAAAATCATAACTCACAATGTACGTGGCCTAAACAACAACTTAAAAAGACAACTCTGGCTAGAGTATTGCAAAAAACAAGATATCGATATAGCCAGTATCACAGAAATGAAATTAGCAGAATCAAAATTCGAAGCATTAGAACTACAAAACCCCTGGTACAAGATATACACTGCAAACAATAATTCAACAAATACATTAGGACGAGAGACAAGCCTTGGTACAGCAATAGCAATAAAACACACCCTCCAACCATATATCCATAATATCCAAACAGAACCAGACACCACAATTAGCATCGATCTCTTCTTCCCAAATAAGACAAAACTTCGAATCATCTCTGTATATCTACCTCAAGACAAGACAATAAATATGAAGACCCAAAACCGAATTATCTTTTGGACAGAACAGGCAATAAGCAAAGAGATAATACCAATAATCATGGGTGATTTTAATATAGACCTTAAAAAATGTAAACAAAAAACTCAACTAATTACATACTTAGAAAGGATCAATATGCTCCCACTACTCCATACTCTGATACCAAACACACCTACATGGAACGCGAGAGGATCCAGTAGTCAAATAGATGAAATTTGGATTCCCTCAATACAAATTAACGAATTCACAACACCTCGACTTACTAACGCAATACATATTACAGATAGTGACCACAGTATTATACAAACACAATGGAATACACAAGATAAGATACCACATATACAACAGAAAAGTACATATAAAAGAAGAATATACAACTACAATGGAATGACTAAAGAAAAATATGATCATTTCAGCAAGAAGGTAGAACAAACAATAAGTAATGCAATGACCACAAAGCCAGGCAAAAAACATGTAGAAGACACATATCAGTTAAACAAAACATGGAACAAACTCTCTGCAGCAATAATAGAAAGAGCAAAAAAAGATATCCCTAATACAACAAAGAAAATAAACTACTCAATCACCAAAAAACATAACTACCATGCAACCAAAACACACAA